CTCACCATTCTTTCTTCCTTCCTTCCTTCCTTCCTTCCTTCCTTCCTTCCTTCCTTCCTTCTTTCCTTCCTTCCTTCCTTCTTTCCTTCCTTCCTTCCTTCCTTCCTTCCTTCCTTCCTTCCTTCCTGTCCCTGGTAGTCTCTAATCTACTTTCTATCTCTATGAATTTCCCTGTTCTACTGTTCTAGAGACTTCATACAAGTGGAATCACACAATATTTGTCCTTTTGTATCTTACATATTTTACTACCATAATGTCTTCAAAGTTCACTCTCACTGTAGCATGGCTCAGAACTTCATTAACTGACTAATATTCCTTTGTATGTGTATACCACATTTTGCATATTCATTCTTGATGTAACTTGGGTTGTTTCCCACATGTTGGCTATTGAGAATAATGTTGTGATGAAAACTGTCATACAAATATCTCTTTGAGTTCCTATTTCCAATTTTGGGGTATATATCTAGAAGTAGAATTGCTGGGTCAGATGGTAATGCTATGTTTAGCTTTTTGAGGAACTGCCAAACAGTTTTCCACAGTGGCTGCCCCACTTTACATTCCCACCAGCTTTGTACAAGAGTTCCAATTTCCCCACATCCTTGCCAACACTTGTTATTTTATATTTTAAAAACTATACCCATCTTAGTAAGTGTTGTAGCTTTTTTTAAACATTAAAAACAAATTTATTTTAGAAATAAAGAGCATGAGCAGGGGAGGGGAGAGAGAGGGAAGGAGAGGGAGGGAGAGGGAGAGAGGGAGAAAGGAAAAGAGGGAGAGAGAGAGAGAGAGAGAGAGAGAGAGCGCCTGATGCAGTCTGATCCCACGACCCTAAGATCATAACCTGAGCTGAAATCAAGAGTTGGACACGCAACCGACTGAACACCCAGGCGCCCCTTCTTATAGCTTTGATTTGCATTTTCCTAATGACTAATGACGTTAAGCATCTTTTCACCTATGGATTGGCCGTTTGTATATCTTCTTTGGAGATATGTCTATTCAAATCTGTTGTCCATGTTTGGGTTATCTTTTGTTGTTGAGTTTTAGCAGTTCTTTACGTATTCTGGATATTAAAACTTATCAGACTCCATTTTTAATTTAGATAAAATGTTTGGGGGAAATCTTCAATTCCCAAAATTATTCATGATATTGGCAATATTGAATATTTTACTTTCTGAAAATATTTAATTAATTGAATTTTCCAAATGAAATTCCTGTGCACTTAACTGCTAGTTCTCAAGAGAAAAGAGAAAATCATAGGAAAATTGGTACATTAGAATTGGCAAGTAGAAACTCTTTAAAAATTGGGAGTAATCCATAGTGACTTAAGAAAAGGGATAAATTAAAGACCTTTATTAAAAATAAAGAGACAATATGAATTATTATTAAGAGATAAACATGATGAGCTAATGACTTCAAACTAATGACTGCTTTCAAATGCTTAAAGGGCTATTATATAAAGATTCCTAACTTATCCACCTTCAGGGGAAAAAAGTTAGAGAAAAAAACATACTAACTTGCAATTGGAAAGCCTTCCAATTTGATACCAAGAAAAGGCTTTTAATGACAAAATAATAATAATAATGTTTACTGATCACTACCATGTGTCAGACTCTGTTTTGAGCCCCACGTGATTAGTACTATTATCATCACAGCTGAACTTGGGCTTGAACCCATGGAGATCAATGCTGTGCCCAGGCTCTTATCCGCTATACTAAACCAGCTTTGTTAAAACTGGACTAATATTAGAACACCTTTCCCTCCTAAGAAAAGCCACTGCCTTTCTATCAGCAGAGAATTTCAAAATAGGATAGACATTTATCAGTCAAATGAAATTCATGATTCTTACACATTTGATGGTGTCAGTCTTCTAACTCTATCCAAACAGCAGTTTCTTTCTTACTGCTTTTCTTTTAGCAAAACAGTCTGGATCTACTCTTGCCTTCCTCCCTTTTCTAAAATGATCAGCAGGGTACTTTCAAATGTTTTGTAACATTACATAAATATCCTTTTAAATAATATGGACAAATGCCCAATGACACATGTTGTAGGAAAACATAATACCTTTTGTTTTCCCTTTTTAATCTTTGGGACTTTGCTTTAATAATTCATGGAGACATTAACCTTTCAGGTGGATTTGAAACTCCTTTTTACTTAATACAATTTTGTTTGTGTTCTGAAAACCCAAGGACATTGAAGTATTTATTCCCTGCTCAATAGATCACTGTGTACATGTATGTTTGTTTTCTCTGAAAACATCTCTTAACCTTCATACATCTCCTCAGGGCTTTTGTGTGTGGGCTTGCTACATATTGTTTCCCCTGTAAGAGGTAATGTGCCATGCTCCAACAGGTGTGCTGCTATTAACAATATCCCAATTTTCTTAACCTCCTCATTTCTCTCACATGATCATTTCCATGATACTCTTTCAGCTGAGTTAGAGAGAAAGCAAAAGGTAATTAATTTTTGTAATAGAAAACAAGAACTAAAATGGCAAGAATTTCACCTAAGAAATCACAAAGTATATTAGTGGCAGACCTGGAGCTCTAGCCCACATCTTCTGATTATAGCAGAGAGTTATGAGAAGTGGTTTTCACTTGGAGAGATTCTGTCTCATCTCCACGGGGTACATTTGGAAATGTCTGGAGACATTTTTAGTTGTCCAAAATGGGGAGGTGGTGCTACTGGCATCTAGCTGGTAGAGGCGAGAGATTCTGCTAAACAACCTACAAGGCATAGGATAGCTGCTCCAACAAAGAATTATCCAGCCCCAAATAGCAATGGTGCCATCGTTGAGAAGCTCTGTTTTAGAGTGATGGAAATTAGATTTGAACCCTCTGCATCTTATTTTGTGACCTTGGGAAAGTGGCTTCATTTTTCAGAATGTGCTTTCTCATCTGAAAGAACAAAACATCCACCACCATAAACAAACAAACCAAACCAACCAACCGACCAACTAAACAAACAAAACCCCCACTTTCCAGGGTAGTTGGGAGAGACCAACTCAAAAGCACTGAACAGAGTATGCTGTGTATATAATGGGCCCAACAAACATAAATCAGGGAATCCAATTATAAGAAAAGATGGAAGCGGAGTGTGCCAGAAAGACAACATCACTGAAATGAAAAAGAAGGCTCCCTAGTTTCCTTTCAACTTTTATATAGAAAAGGGCAAAAGAGATGGAGAGAGGTACAAGATAATTAAACAGCATCAAGGACATATTAGGAGGAAAGGGGAAGAGATGGTAAGACTGGGAATAGAAAACTGTGAGAAGGCTGTACAGGTGAGAGAGATTTTAGCAGTGACCTGGAGATGAATTTGAGAGATATTTGGAGGGAGGAACCAGAAGAATTTTGTGAGTAATTAAGAAGGGTCATAAAAGGGGCACCTGTGTGATTCGATTAAGTGTCTGACTCTTGGTTTTGGCTCAGGTCATGAGCTCACCATTCCTGAGTTTGAGCCCCGTGTTGGGCTCTGCACTGGCAGCATGGAATCTTCTTGGAATTCTCTCTATCTCTCTCTCTCTCTGTCTCTCTCCTTCTCTCTCTCCCCCTCTCTCTGCTGCTCCCCTGCTTGTACTCTCCTCACCCCCCTCTCTCAAAATAAGTAAATAAATATTTTAAAAAAATTTTTTAAAGGGTCATAAGAGAGAGAGGTCCAGGATGAATATGAGATTTCCAACTTGGGTGCTTGGGTATTGGTGATGCCATTAAGCAATAAAATCAAAGAGCAGAGCAGATAATAAATTCATCTATAGATACTTCAAGTTTGAGAGGCCCGTGGCATATTTAAATGATAACCAAGAGGCAGTGAGATATGGAAATCTGGTGAGAAGCCAAATATTTGAGAGTCAGAAATCTGAAAATGGTAGATGAATCCCTGGGAGTGAATGAGATTTTCTAGGGAGAGCATATGGAGTAAGAAAAGAGCAGAGGACAGAGCTTTTACGAATTAGACAAAGAAAACTAAGATGGTACAATCAAGAGAATCAGAACAATAGAAAGAGAAGATAGAAACAATAGAAAGAAGATGATCCTGGATGTCAAGGCTCAAAGAGTTTCAAGAACACAAGAGCAGGCAACAGTATCATAGAAAAATTAAGTGAGATCCAGAGTGTCCAGAAGATTTGGCAGGTCAGTGGTAGTGCTAATTTTAGCATGCAATGATGAGCAGAAAAACTAGACTCAGTGAGTTGAAGAGTAAATGATAGTTGTAATAGTAGAAATAAGGGATAAAACTTAAGCACATTTATATGCTGAGATGAAGGAACCAGTGAAGGTTGAAGATACAGAAGCAGGGAAAATGGATAAATCAAGAGTGGGGTGTAGAGTTGGAATGATCATTTTGAGGCAAGATGAGGCTGACCCCTCCCTCTAAACTGTGTAGAGCATGTTAAGTTGGGCATTGATGTAAGTAGACCTGCAGGGGTGAGGAAACATGAGTTTGAAGAAGTTCATATTGGAGACCCTCACTTTTCACTATGGGACTGTAGGTGAGCTCAGTTGTTGGTATGGGATATGGGACACAGGACATGAGAGGAGCTAGGGGAAGGAAATAACCTTTAAGGATTGGGGAGGGGCATTAACAAACTAGAGAAAGTGAGTAGAGATTACAATTTCAAGAAGCTGGTATGTGAGGGGTATTTCAAGGTGCCAATGTCACCTTGGGATTCATATCTATTTTTTTTTCTAGATCACTAACAGAACCCATCCATCCTTAGAAGCAATAAGCTGGAAGGATTTGTTTGAAAATGAGATAGTGTGTGTGGGATCACCAACTAAATTCCAAACTTAACTGGGCAAGGAATCAATTACGTCTGTGGACCAACTGTATCATCTCCTTGTATGAATGTGAGTCCTCAACAACCAGAGTTGAAATTCAACTTTATCGTCCATAATTCATAATCAAGTAAGACAGTGGAAATGATCAATAAACTGAAAATAAATGAATCTTGATGAAATTGTTTTCTTTTGCAGAATCTTACCTTCTTTTGAGCCTAAGTCATGAGTTGGATGTTCCTCAGAGACCTCCTAACTGGAGTAAATAAATACTCAACCGGAATTGGGCGGATTTGGCTGGCTGTTGTGTTCATCTTCCGTTTGCTGGTCTACATGGTGGCAGCAGAGCATGTGTGGAAAGATGAGCAGAAAGAGTTTGAGTGCAACATTAAACAGCCTGGTTGCGAAAATGTGTGTTTTGATCACTTCTTCCCCATTTCCCAGGTCAGACTTTGGGCCTTACAGCTGATCATGGTCTCTATGCCTTCACTTCTTGTGGTTCTACATGTAGCCTGTTGTGACAGTAGAGAGAAAAGGCACAGAAAGAAACTCTATGTCAGCCTAGGTGTGATGGATGGGGGTCTGTGGTACACTTACCTGATCAGTCTCATTGTTAAAACTGGTTTTGAAATTGGCTTCCTGGTTTTATTTTACAAGCTGTATGATGGCTTTAGTGTTCCGTACCTTATGAAGTGTGATTTGAAGCCTTGTCCCAACACTGTGGACTGCTTCATATCCAAACCCACCGAGAAAACGATCTTCATCTTCTTCTTGGTTATTGCCTCATGCCTGTGCATTGTGTTGAATTTCATTGAACTGAGCTTTTTGGTTCTCAAGTGCCTTATTAAGTGCGATCTCCAAAAACACTCTAAGACACTCAAGTCTTCAGTGTGTGAGTGCCACAACCTCAGATATGTTGAATGTGGTGGGATAGGGGCTCCTCCCCTGCTCCAGAATTGCCACTCAGACTCAGCCATAAGCACACTGCACACCCCTGAACCCCCTCCCTCCCGAGGTAAAACAAAACTGCTTTGTGATACACAAGAGGGTTGGCAAGGAGAATCTGCATCCTTCCTAAGCAAGACCTAAGCTGTGTTGGAAAGCAAAGGGTGTCAGGCTTAATGTCATTTGGGAAAATTTTTAAAAAAATTTTCAGTATGTGCTCAGTTGTACACACTAGACAGAGATCTCATTGTCATAGGGTTCAAGTGGATATGTGAGTTGTGTTAAAATAGTTAATCGCAAATTAGTCTGAAAAAATCCAGTGAACGGCATTCTCTTAAATGCTTAGATCTGTCACCTGGAAAATATAGAAAGTGACATTTCTGACAAACGTGATGGCTTCCAAGCTGAGGTTGAGGCATTGGCAATCTTTCCAAAGTGGCAGCCAAGGCTCCCCTCACTCAGCTCTACACAATCTTTGCAGAGAAAGAGCATGGTGAGGGCACAGTAGCAGGTAGCTAAGGCAAACAGAAGCACACTCAGTGAGAAGGCCTGGCCTGGGGAAATGACCACAGAGCCCAGGCCTCTGCAGTTTAGGTCTCCCTGGATATAAATGGACTAGGGGGGAGGGAAGAAAGCCATAAATTGTGGTTTCCAAGTTAATACAAATATTACTGGGGACATGTCCCACTTAAGCCTGAACCTAGCAGATACCTGAAAGGGTCACTCCAGTCATACCAGAAGGCAGGTCCCACCAACTACACAGACAGGGAGCAGGTAGGACCCAGAAAAGGAACATACCCACTTGATAATTACTTAACCCTTCTCTTTTAACCACTGAACATTGAATACTTTGTAAATTTCTGTATTTATTGGACCTTTTTATGATCAGGAAATCACAGTGTGTTATACAATATGTCATAGTTTGCCTACAATTTACTAGTACATCTCTCTCTAGAATGGATGATAAAATGTGTACTATGCTGTTACATTGGTTTGAAAAATGTAAAAAAAAAAATAAGGATGCTTATTATTACTTTATTTGGAGCCTAGCTCTTTCTTATTTTTTAAAAAATCATATATTATCTTTGTATTTAACACTCTAACAGACGTGCATTTCTCTAGAATAAAAATGCAGTGGTTTTGTTGTGTTATTTGGCTGTCCTTGATATTGTTACTTGACTGCACGGGTACAATTATTCTGTGAAATAAAACTTTTCTGACAATTTTAGAGCAGGACTTGCAGCCCTGCTTGATAAAAATAGTTCAGAAATCATTCTTGTCCACTGGGAATTTTTTTAATGAGAAATCAGTGCATAAAAATGTAATTTTAACTGAAACTGATTATGTCATGTCTTCCATGGCCCTGCCCTCTTCAGCATAAAGTCACTACAATTCATGCAGGTTTTCCCCTTCTTTCAATTTATATCCCAGATCCCTCACTGCTGCACTCCTGAGCTTACATTCATTTGACATGAAAACAGCCAATCTTTGCAAATGCAGGTAACCACTAAAGGATTTAAAGGAATATAAACACATGTTTTTGACAGTGATGGGGGTTAAAGAGGTTTGAGATTTTTGAGGCCCTCATCATGGCATAAAATCTAGAAAATAGGGTTTTAGTGCACAGAAGTGAAATGGAGGCAAGATGATTTTTCCCTTTAAGTTTGTAGCCAAAAATATTTTTGAGGAGCTCAGACTTCACATCAGCTATGACCAGTGCTGCTGTAGGGAAAAGGATTGGTGGGACATGTGCATTTTTTGCTCTTTCCACTTTGCATTAAGAGGAAATGACGAGGTAATGGGAGCAAGAGCTGTGAATGAAGTTGTTTAGACAGGAAGGGGAATGATTTTTTCCCCTTTAAGCTTAGTTTATAAAATGAGTTTCCTATAAGAATACTCTGGAGGTTGTCTTGGCATCAGTGAGGACCCAAAGCATTTGATTGAGAGAAACTGGCATTTAAATTTGCCATCCTTAGTCTCTTATCAATAAATTGATTTTTATTGAGCTATGATCAGCAGGAACAAGACACTGCATTATGCACCTTCAGAGATATAGAATTCCGGCTGTAAGAAAATTTCCACTTTCATGCGGGAGCCTGGATGTTAAGATGGGGTGGAGTATCTTGCACTGGTCCTCACTGGTCACCTCACTTGACCTGACTCCCCCACACAACATTGGTGCTCAGAGAGCAGACATTAACCTTAGAGATGAAGAAGGTAAGACCCAAAAATTCAGTCCCTTTTTTCAGGGATATTCATCCAGTAAAAGCCGAGTTACCAATCAACCATAGTTCTTTCTTAAACCTTCCTCACCTCATCGGGCTTCCCGGATCACTGAACAGGTGTCTTCTTAATTTCATTCAAGCCATTCCTGGACGGCAGTTGGCTCTCTAGGACTTATCCCCCAAATCTTTCCTGTTAAGACACTGTCTGTGGTCACAAGGTTTCGTCTCAATGGAGCTGGAAGGAAATTTTTTTCAGTATTGTATGAAAGAATGCCTAGGGTTGCAAGTAGCTATGGTTCCAGTCTTCCCAAGGAAATTTAACAAAGATGGCTTAAGACAGAAAGACTGCAAAGTTAAGAGAAGGGGGGAAAGGCAAAGACCTGAGAATGTTTGAATTTTTAATTCCTGCTGTCTCTGACACAGGCTCCCCCCTATCCTTTCTGTAGTTTAGTTACATGAATGATAAATTCCCCATTTTTGCTTAAACTGGCTTAAATAGGGTTTCTGTATGTTGCAACTGAAAGAATCCTGATAACACCATGTTTTTCATATGTTTCTTTCCAGTACAGTGTAAAAAGGCGGGGGGTGGGGGATGGGAGGACACTTCTCTTGTACTTACTCTTTCTTTTTTAGGTTAGGCATGGAGTATCCTAACTTTTACACGTGGCTACGTATAGAATGTGTGAGTAGGGGGAGAGATGTGGAAGGATCTCAACATTGGTTACAATAAGAGGAGAGTGAATTTTTTCTTTATAAATCTTTTCATTGTTTCATGTTATTTTTGTTCTTAAAATTTTAATAAAGAAGTCAATTAAAAGCCCAAACTGCCCTGTCCCTCCTTTTTCTATCTCACATCCCATCATATGCATAGAACACTTTCCTTAGATATTGATGCCAATTTATTCCTAGTTTACATTTTATTTTGTTTGTATATTTAATACTGCACACAGTACAAAAGAGAGGGCATGTCACAATTCTGTAAAAAAAAAAAAAAAAAAAATGGTGAGGAAAGAAAGAACCAGTGGTGGGGCATGTAAAGGCAAAAAGTGTTAGCATTCCTTTGAATTTTATGACAAAGTCTGAAGGGACAGATATGTTCTGGGAGAAACTCACCAGAAGCTGTCTCTTTAAGTTTTTTCTCACAGAGCAAATCTTCCTTCAGCTGTAAAAGACAATGGTTTGTGGGGAGTTTTGAAAATTTTCACAGACCTATCCTGTTTCTACTATGTCAGAAAGTCTTAATAAACAATTCTAAGATGATAAAGATTATCTTTAAAAATGCTGTAATGTATCCATATATTCTGTTTGAAAGTAAAATGAGTTCTGGATGTTACCCAAATAGGTCAACATTCCCACCTGCTTATAGTTGAAGTATCTGATCCTTCCCCAACTATGGAGATTTAATTTTCTTCTAAAAAGGAAAAGGAAAAATGTTGTTCAGAGAAAAACAGTATTTGGAACTTCTGTTAATTTATTTTTGTCTCGAAATTTTTTCAGACATTAATGCTTTCTGTCAGAGGTGGACAGATGGCTGTGCTATAGAATTGTCTGTACAGAATAACAGGAAATTGAAGAAGTAGACTCCAGTTTTCTATCCTTTAAAAAGATCACTATTGGACTCTGCGCAGTAGATTGGGTCCAGAAGAGACAAATATTAAATGATCCCATTTTCACTTTCTTGCTATAAAAATGTCTAACTAAATTTGATGAGTCCCCTGTGTTAGTCATTAGGTGAACCAAGTGCTTTCATTTATAAAGCATTTATTGCAAAGGAGAGTCAGTGCAGTAACTTGAGATTTGACCTTCTACGGAAGATTAGCAAATATGATAAACTGATATTCTGGAGAAAATGCCTTCTAATCACATTTGATGATGACATTAAAAACTTACTGTGGCTAAAATGAAAGATTGTCTTACTAATCTTTCCATATCCTGTATCTCCACAGTTTAGGTCTCTGGCATTTAGGAGCTCAGTTTCTTGGAAAAATATCTGTTCCTCTCCTTCTTCCTTCTTTTGCCTACCCAACATTTACCCTTCTTCACCTAAAAGAATTCTGACTTTGTTGGAGGTGGCAATGTCCCCAGCTAAAAAGTCACATTTCCAGGTCTCCTTTGCATGTAAACGTAGCAGTGTGAAATCTTGTCAAGACAAGATTTTTTGACTGATGCTTTGGGGAAAGTTAAAAAGTGGGCCTGACCTGGCTTGCATGCATCTTTTTGCCCCCCAACCCCTTCCTGCCTCCCAACCCCTTCCTGCCTGAGACATCATGGCTAGAGCTGCAGTAAACATCTTTCTACCATGAGATACTTTCAAGATGGAAGTATAACCTTATGGATGAAGGAGAAGAAAGACAGCTCCAGGAACTTTGACGCCATCAGGGAATTGCTGTATCAGCTCTGAACTGCCTATCTCCGTGCTTTTGTTTTCGTTGTTGTTATGTGAGAGATAACTCCTACCTGATGTAAGCTATTGCCTTGTTGGGCTTCTTTACTTATAGCCAAAAATAGTTCCTGACTACTTTCATGTGAGTGATTAGGATGAAAACACAGAAGGTGTGCTTGTATCTACTGAAGACAAAAGAGATGACCTGGATATTGAATGGCAGAAATAAAACATGATTAAAAATCTCAGAATTTTTTTCAGAACGAGTCAGTTGAAATGGAACAAGTAGTCATTCTGCATCGATTTAAAATTTTAATATGAGACATAGATTTAGTTCACGACATAAAGTCCTTGGAATTTAAGCTTACACCTTACAAACGAGCAATGTGTAGTATTAGACTATTGAAAAAAAGTTAATCTTGTGTTGGAAATGTGTCCAGACTATAGGAAATGATTTTCCCAATGCTTGATAGAGAAATAGCTTATTATATGTCCCAATGTTTCAGAACCAGGACTAATTGGCAAACACCAAAGAG